AACGGTGGAGCACCATTACACCCCCCGACTAGAAGTTGGATACCAAGATATCCAACTCTACATCCTAGGTGCCTTTCAGGTAGGCTTCGGGAACAATATCCGGGGAATCGGGGAAATGAAAGGTAGAAAAGAAAACCACTGGGTAAGAAAAAAAGAAAGAGGGGCACAATTTATTGCCAGGAATCAAAGAGGAAAAACAGGTGTGGGTCTTGGGACCCCCGACAGATGTGAAACATCAAAGAATACGTTATTGAACTCGGTTGTATTATTTATTCATATAAATTTTCTATAAGACGTTGAGCTCATCACCCCTATGCAGTACATGATTTTTTAATTTTTCACTTGAGAGTAAAAAATCGGGCACAGATATAAAAAATATAAGGTAGAAATGTGAGTATGTAAGAACAAGAGTGTATAAATAAAAATAAGCAGCATAAATTAAAAAAATGGTTTTTGTTTATTTTTACTAATACATGGAAAAGTGTAGCAGTATAAAAATATGGTAATAAAAAAAAATGAGTTACGAATTTAGAAATACATATCAAAGATATTTTCGTTAGGGTTAATTGTATTTAAAAAATAATCCTCAATTGTATTATTAAAAGTGCAACACAATTATGTTTTATTGTTGGTCTAGAAAACTAAAATATGTAACAAAAATGCTTGCATGCGGCGACGCGGCTCTGGCGTGGTGCGCTAAGTAGCTAGGAGTGGGGAGAGAGCCCGCTTGGGTCTGGCACTGCTGCTTGGCGACGCGGTTCTTGCGAGGTGACGCGGCTCATGCGTGGCGACGCAGCTCTGGTGGGGCGATGCTAGCTAGGAGTGGGGGGAGAGCCCGCTTACGAGCCTGGCGACGGCTCGCGTGGCGACGCGTCGCCACGCAAGGCTCGCTTTTACCCCCCAAGCGCCGCAATAGATGTTTCACATCAAAAATATAAGAAAAGGCATTATAAAAGAAGAAAAACAGAAGGAAAAGAAATTTAACAAAAAAAAACAAAAGAACAAAACGAGTGCCAACGTTAAAAGCAGTAACCTTATTATTGTCATCACCACAAGTAAGGTAAATATCCCAGTAGTTGACTACCGAAAAACTGGTCCCAATACTTGGCCACTGTATAAAATTTACAGATAAATCTGGTGGTCAACTGTTAGTCAATGCATGTGTCCCAATAAATGGTCACCAGCTTTTGCATATATTGAACGTAGAGGTAGCCCAGTACTGAGATATAACCGCCTTAAGGTGGCTAACTACTGGGACACTTACCTTACTCTTGTATAGGATTAGGATCATCGTTGTGGTCAACCTTGTAAGATCTTGTGACTGCGTGCGCGCAAGCAGCGGCTTACCAACTTTTATAGAAGTTAGTTACGTTAAGAAAATTATAAATTGTATAAACATCGTAAGTGCGAATCTTAAACTTTATAATTTACACTACTTATAAAAACAACTATTTCTGGCTCTTCTGAGTTTGTTAAATCACCAGATAAGAGATAACTTAATTGTTGATTAGTTTCACTTACCTAATTCAAAAATATACCAATTACTAAGTTATATGAAATTCCTTATTTGATAAATAAATTTTATATCGAGGAAAATTTAAGTAGACAACGTATAGCAGAGACTTTTACAAGGATCTGATATAAAAAGATGAATAAAACACACTACTATTGATTACGTAAGTTATAAATTAGAACAGTAGTTTAACGCCAGCTCGCGTAGACATACTAACACTATTGTACACATATCATTCGGTGAAAACCTAACACCACATCGCCAAGTCAAAGATTTAAAATGAAAGTATATTGTAAGTAAGAGCAAATAAGGCCTTTGGACCAACGGCAGTTTCCTGACGAAGAAAAATTAGACTTATTTCTTTGTAGAATGAATCTAGGAGTTCTGTCCTTCACTTATAAAAGTTCAGACGTAACACTGCCATATAAGTTTCAGATTGTTGGACTCTAACACTCCATCATGTAAAATTTTTACGGACCTTTTAGCTTGACGTAATTATAAAATATAAATGTACTACCTTATACTCTGACTTACTTTAATAGTGCGTGCCAATAATACACTTACGTGCACTAGGTACTAAATTTATTCTAACCTTATTTTTTAATTTTTTAGTTCAGTCCATCCAATTACACCAAGCACTTTATATACTGCAAGTATAAGCCATGTGAGCCAGGGGATCTTCAAAAAACTTCATTGGAGGCAATTCTTAGAATCCCATTCCCTCCTGACAAATCTTACCCGAAATCTCATCTGATATCTCATGTAATTTCTTACCTGAGTTCTCAAAGATTTCTGAAAGATTTCTGAAAGAAGAATAAATAAAAAAATTTTGTGCAACGATTAAAATTCATACATTAATACAATAATTACTTGAAATATCAACAGTTATAGGGAAAAAAAAAAAAAAAAGTTCGGCTAATATGGGACACAAACTCGAGCCCTCAGTTTATCAGGCAAGCATCTTACCGCTTGGCCAGAGTGGATGGGATACAAGTCCGCCAATTTACTTCTATATAAAGTGTAAATACCAAGTGTTATTGTTATTCTTATTCACATCTGAATCATACAATTATTAATAGATATAATTTTTCCCAATCTTAATTTTGAAAGTTAACCAACTAGATAATATTCAGGAACATTATTTTCTTCACAAGCAATATTTTCTCTCTTAAAGTTACTCTTGAAAATGCTTTATATCCAAGTCAGGCAAAAGTTTTTAAAAATTATCATAAATGTTTATTTAAATGTAATAATAAAGAAAAACTACAATATAAAACAGGGGGACTTGATGTGTTGTGAATAAACTATTTCTAATAAAAAAAAATTGCTTGCATAAATTGCCACAAGGTCGTCTGCTTCCATTAGCCAATCTATGGTCAGTGGCTCATTGGGGACGTGGCTGGAGGATTCCGTCACCTTTGCGGGCTTTTCTTGTTCGTCCAAGCGTGAACCCATCAGCCGTTCTTCCATTTTGATCTCAAGGGCTGGGTCCATCACTGGAAAAGGTTAATGAGAAATAGATGTAACGAAAGGTGGAGAGAAGTAATATTAGTAGTTAATCAAATGTATGAAATGCCATGTGAGGAGTAAGAAAACAAAAAAGGGGCGGGGGTAATTTGCGGGTGTATAGCAGTGTGCAATACTCCGTTCCTGCAAGTAGTCGTTGATCAGGCGGTTCTTAAACTCCGTTTCATTATCAGTGAGGAGCTTAAGCGGCGCACCGAATCGCGAAATAATCTTTTCTTTGAAGGCACTTAAGACAGCCTTCGCATTGGCTTTTCGCAGGGGTACACATTTAATCCACCGAGTGAACAAATCCTCAAAGATCAAGATATACTCGTACCCGTGTAAGCTGCATGGCAACGGACCCATGATGTCAGCTGCAACTGTTTACCACGGGCCGGGGATTTACGCGTCTGCCCATCAGCCCCACTGGCAGCTTTTGTTCCACTTTAAGCTGCTGGCAAACTCAGCACTTTCTCACGTGCTTGGCTGTGCTTTGATAATATTTAGGCCAGTAGTAATGTCAGGCCAGGAGAGAGAAGGTCTTCTCGAGACAAAGGTGGCCTGCTGACGGCTCATCGTGGCATTCCTGCAACACTCCCTTTCTCCCCTTCTCGGGTACGACGAGTTTCCACGCATCTAAGTCACTCAGGGTATCGTCGATTCTGGGATCGGGGCGGTACACGTAGAGATGTCCCCCGATGATTTTCCAGCGCGGAAAATCGGTAGGAGAGTGCTTAACATTTTCTAACCAGGCGTTGTACCAGGCATCTTGCGTGGTATTCGTAAGGATCAGTGCTCCAACGGGAAGCTCTTTCTCTTCTTCGTATAGTCGCAAAAGCGCATCTGGTACATAATTCAGGGCGCCTTTCTGATGATCCCGTACCAATAATTGATTGCAAAATATATTGCAAAGAATATTACAACATAAATTACAACTTTTATTGCAAAAGATGTCACAACTAATGTATGACATCAAATGCTTGATGTCATTTGTGTGCGTGTATGTGTGGCAAAAGTGTTTTCAGCCGAGTGCTCCACGCGTGTGCTCTGAGTGAAAAGCGCATGCGCCGCGCTAGAAAGAGACGGTATGACTGAGCTCCGTGCTCTCCCCGGCTTAACATCGCTCCACCAAGTCAGTGAGGGCCAGTCACGCTGCACTGCGTCTCTTTTCCCTCCTGTGTAAGAAAGTCAATGTACGTGAGTGTTCAGTTCCGAACGAAAATTAAAGCTGATTCAATAAAAGGAAGTCGCCTTTTTATTTACCCGCGTACACTACAATTCCTAAAAGTTCTCGTCAACTCCTTCGTCCACACGATCTGGCGCAACAACAGTGCAGGAGCACTGCCTCCCGGGCATCATCCCGTACATTGGTCCTTCGAGCCAGATAGGGACAGGGTGACGTAAACAAGACATCGTCGGCTGCCGAAGCGCGCCGAGCCGTGCGAGCTTCCAGATCGTTGACGGCTATCTTTGCCTGCGCCTCCGGCGCACACACCACGCAGCCACACCCGCCGCTGCTGCTGTGCTCTCCTGCGTGCTTCCGTACGTGGTGCTGTGGACGTCGTATCCGCGCCCGCCCTATACACAAAGCTGCAGGCCATTGCCACACGCCGAGGTTGCAGAGCTACCCGCTTGCCCTTGGCCACATATCGTCGGCTGCCGAAGCGCGCCGAGCCTTGCGAGCCTCCAGCTCGCTAACGGCCATCATCGTTTGCGCTTGCGGCGCACGTGTGATCGTCACAGCCGCGCCTGCCGCTGCTGCCGCGGTTATCTTTGTTTGATTACAGGTGGCCAGCCTGCCTGAGAGCGTCGTCGTTTGGCGACGTGTCACATCAGCGTTGTTGCTGCTACGCCGCTGTGCGCGCACGTCATTCTCTCGGGTAAAAACTACGCACAGGCCTGGGACGATCTTGTCAGGTATTATGACAATAAGCGGCGCTTGGTTACTACATACACAGGTACGATTCTTAGTTGCTCAAATATGAAATCCAACTCCTGTGCGGAAATAAAGCCCTTAGCTAAGGAAATGTTAGGCCCCCTAGATTCAATCGTCACTTTGGGTAGAGAAAACGGAAGTGAAGACGTTCTCATCGCTCTCATCGTTAGTGGGTTTGATAATTTTGACAATAGAGATTGGCAGAAGCATCTAGGTAGTAGTGACGAACCTCCGACTCTTGATCGTTTGCGTGAGTTCATCGCTGCACAAATCATTACATTAGAGACGTTAGAGTCGACTGAACGGAAGCCTAACCCAGGCCAACAACCTGACTCTTTGAAATCCAAACAGAAATCTTCGTTTGTTCATCAGAGCACTGCATCTCCTGATGAGTCAGGATCTCCTAGCTGCTTTCTTTGTGGTAAGTCCCATTGCTTGCTCTCTTGTCAGTCTTTTCGTAATAAATCACTCGATGAAAGGAGGCAGATCATTAACGATAGACAACTTTGTCTCAACTGTCTTGGGCAACATTTTGTTAGGCAGTGCAAAAGTAAGTTCTCCTGTTCAGTTTGCCACCGGAAGCACCACACCATGTTGCACAAGGAAGAGGTTAAGTCTACTCCCGCGAAAGGTCCAAACTTGTCAGGTAAATCTACAGATAGTAAAGAGGGAGATTATGACAAGCATCAAGGGTCTCAGTCCGACCAAAGCTTTTGCGCTACCGCTAGCTTGTCCCTTAGCCCTAGATTCCCCTCGGGACCAAAAGTTCTGTTAGCTACCACTCGAATTCATGTTCGTGGTCCCCATGGTCAGCAAGTTTCAGTAAGATCCTTGGTTGATCAGGGCTCTCAAAGTTCCTTAATAACTCACTCGCTTTGCGATACGTTGAGTCTCAAAACTCACCCAGCTAGTATTTCGTTGACTGGTGTAGGTGATTCTTCTACGACCTCTGTTCGGAAGAGAACCTATATAACTTTCCAACCTCACTTCGAATTGAGTTTTAAGTGTGATACCGAGGTCCTAGTNCTCGCTTTGCGATACGTTGAGTCTCAAAACTCACCCAGCTAGTATTTCGTTGACTGGTGTAGGTGATTCTTCTACGACCTCTGTTCGGAAGAGAACCTATATAACTTTCCAACCTCACTTCGAATTGAGTTTTAAGTGTGATACCAAGGTCCTAGTAGTTTCGAAAATTTCTTTTTATAAGCCTCCAATTTCAAGGAGCTTACTAACACTACCTCACATTCAAGGACTCCAACTTGCAGATCCTGACCTATACACTCTAGATAAAATAGACGTTCTGCTCGGAGCCTCGGTCTATGCTCATGTTATTCAAAACTCGATTCGACGGGGCCCTGCAAATCAACCTATAGCCTTCACATCCAGCATTGGATGGTTACTGTCCGGACCTGTGCCCCATCCACCGGAAAATGTCCCTTCTGCGAACCGGGAAAATAACATGATCACTGCCCAACCCAAAGAGGTTACCGTAATGCACATCTCTAAAGACCTTGATCTAATTAAAATAGTGCAACGATTTTGGTTAGTCGAAGAACCCCTCTTTATACCAGAGCTCAAGGGAGAGGATCTTCATTGCAAGGAACATTTTGTTCACACGCACTCGCGATCCTCGGACGGTCGATTTGTGGTCAGACTTCCGTTTAAAGGTCAAGTTGCCGACGCTTTTTCCCTTCGGGAAAGCTCTTATAATACGGCGCTCTCCATGTTTCGCCAACAAGAAAAAAGGTTTAGGAATAACCCTCACCTGTTCGAGTCATACAAGACCTTTATGGCTGAGTACCTGGCTCTTGGTCACATGCGCAAAGTATCGAATTCGAGCCTAGCGAAGTGTTTTCTTCCTCATCATGGAGTTTTGAAGACCAATACGCCAACTCCTAAGCTGCGAGTTGTCTTTAATGGCTCTGCTAGGAACAGAGGTGGTCTGTCTTTGAACTCCTTACTCCACACAGGTCCAAATCTCCTGTTAACTCTTTTCGAGCTGATTCTCAGGTGGCGGTTTTATAAGTTTGTCTTTATCACCGACGTAGAAAAGATGTTCTGGCAGATTCCAGTTCATCCAGACGATCAAACTTTTCAAGCGATCCTTTGGAGACCAGACGTCTCTTCTCCGATCAAAACCTACTTCCTTACTACCTCCACTTATGGTCTCGCGTGTTCCCCGTTCCTGGCGACTCGTGTCTTACGTCAACTTGCCTCTGAGCATGCTGAATCGCATCCTACAGCCTCCAGGATTCTTCGCGAGGAATTTTACGTAGATGACTGTTTGTCAGGCAGTCATTTAGTGGAGGAGGCCTCAATAAAATGTGAGGAACTCACGGAACTGGCACGGTTAGGTGGATTTCCTCTTCGCAAGTGGTCCTCTAACTCGCCGCAGGCTTTGGCTAGCGTCCCTCTTGACCATCGAGTCGACCAGCCAAAGACTTTGCAAGAAAATCCAGAAGCCATTCCAGTCCTTGGATTGTCTTGGGACCCCCAGACTGATGAATTTGCTTTCAAATTCACGATTGATGAGTTTCCTAATCTCTGGACCAAGAGAACCTTGTTTGCCCAGACTGCCCGGTTCTTCGATCCTTTGTGCTGGTTCTCATAGGTGATAATAGTTCCAAAGATGTTGCTACAATCACTGTGGTTGCTTAAAATTTCGTGGGACACGCCCCTTCCAGACTTAGTTGTTGAACCTTGGGTCAGGTGGTTGAGTGAGATTCCTCAACTCAATCAAGTGAGGATTCCCCGTTGGAACTTTTATTCCCCTAGTATCCGGTTAGAGATACATGGATTCGCTGATGCGTCTAAGTCAGCCTACGCCGCTGTCGTCTACACCCGCGTGGTTGTAGAAAATGTTGTTTACGTGTCGCTTCAAATAGCCAAGACCCGAGTTGCCCCCCTTAAGGTGCTGAGCATTCCTCGGCTTGAGTTGTGCGGTGCACATCTACTGGCTAAAGTCGTAAGACACTTTACTGATAGCTGTCCTTGTGATGGAGTTCCCATCCACCTGTGGACGGATTCTCTTAATGTCCTCCACTGGCTTAACGCTCCGCCGTCAAAGTGGCCGGTCTTCGTAGCCAACAGATGTTCAGACATCCACCACTTGATGCCGAGCGTTAAATGGCATCACATCTCCTCAAAACAGAACCCAGCTGATCTGGCATCTAGAGGCATTCTCCCTAGGCAGCTAATTGCCAAGCAGTTGTGGTTTCATGGCCCAGACGTGTTGCATGAGACTGATCCCCAGTACCCTGACCTGAAACTTGAAGTCATCGAGCCGTCTCCCTCATTCAACCTCGTAGCAAGTTGTTCGAAAAAGGAGCCTGACTCCTTCGTTACCTCGCTCCTTAGCCGTTGCTCTCATTGGTTCAGGTTAACACGGGTCACGGCTTACGTCCTGCGTTTCGCTTATCGATGTCTTGGTAGACTGAGGCAGTCATCCTTAACTACATCTGTACAGTCCACTGACCTGAGTTTCATCAAACGTGAAGCTTTTGCTTGATACATTTATTCCAGCTTGACTACCATTGAGTTAGAATCGGCGTCTCTGCTTTTGATCTTTGATTATCATTAGCGTCATTTTGCTCATGACATTGCCGTCTTGAAATGCAACGCTAATCTGCCCATTAGTCAACAGGAGCATCTTCCTGCCTCGAGCCGTTTGCGTAAGCTCGCTCCTTTTCTCTCTGATAAATTGTTACGAGTTGGAGGTAGGCTAAGTAACGCTTTCCTCGACTCTAACGCGAAACACCCACTAATCTTGTTTGGTAGAGATTCTCTCATCCTGTTACTTGTTAAACGCTATCATCTTCTTACTCTTCACGGTGGTACCCAAATAACTTTGACCGCTCTTCGTCGAAAGTACTGGGTACTAAATGGTCGTCAGATTGTAAGTTCTGTGCTGTCTCACTGCTTGACCTGTCGCCGGTATGCTGCACAGCCACAAACGCAGTTGATGGCAGATCTGCCAGCTGCAAGAGTAACTCCCTCACCAGCATTTCTAAGAACTGGTGTGGATTACGCCGGTCCTTTTCCTGTTCGTTTAGCAAAGCACCGCGGGAGAGGCACCCTTAAGGGCTACGTTGCGGTCTTTATTTGTATGGTCACGAGAGCTGTACATCTGGAGGTCGTCGAGGACTACACTGCCGACTCTTTCATAGCGGCCTTTCTACGTTTCACGTCTCGTCGTGGCCAGTGCTCCGATCTCTATAG